TTTCCGGGTCCTCTCCACAGGTGATCCTCAAGCGCATGGTGGCACTTTGTGTCACCCGGTGTTTATCGCTTGTGTGATGTCCTGGTGGGGTACAAATTACCTACCTACTTATGTGCCTGTGGGTTAGAGCTCCTACAACAACTAGGCACAGAAAGGAAATTTAAATTTAGGGCAAGTCACGTGACGTATGCAAATTGGATGGAGCCAAAAGATCGTGGGGCTCCGGGACAAATGCTTAGCTGGCCCGTGCGTTGAAGACATAAATTAACAAGTTTATGACTGAAAGTCTTGTTCAGTTAACCTAACGTTTATCAGCCTATGGGTCGCGATCCTTTTGTGGGTTGAACGATTCTTTCACAAGGGTAGCCTAAGACCATCGGAAAAGATATATTCACAACAGTTATGAAGTAGCAATGAAAATAATTGTATGGTTATCGGTCGCCACAACATGAGGAACTGTATTAAAGGGTCGCGGGATTAGGAAGGTTGAGAACCAACGAGTTAAGGTCTGTCAGCCCCAAGATCTTGGGTTAGATTTTGCATCAAGGAGATTTTTGTTACTTCTAATACTGGCTTGGCTGGCAGGTGCCAGGTAATGTCGTGGAAAGTAAAGGCGACCGGTGGGCTGCTTCCTACATCACCCATCGAGTACTTAGTGATCTATAAAAATATTGGTCTAGCATCATAGGTCCGTTGTTCTACAGGTGTAAAAGAAAAAAAGTGTCACTCATCGCTAGACCAAATAATCTGACTTAACGTTCTGCCCACAGTGGGTTAATTCATCCTCATCGGCAACCGGATCGCCCTTTGGCTCGCCGGTAGACGACTTCATCGCCGGTCTTTTAGTATGTGGGTGTCTCCTTTGATCGCATCAACACTACAGGAGTCCTTTTCACGGCTCTTGATGGTGTGTAATGCTAAGCCATTTTATATGGCGCACATCACTGAGTCACAATTATAATCGAAAGCTCCCTCTTCGGAAATGCTGGTTGAACGTGGCAATTCTTGCCTGCTTGTTGTACACCACCAGGACATCACACAAGCGATAAACACCCGATGACACAAAGTGCCATCATGCGGATGAGGATCACCCGTGAAGAGGTCCCAGAAACCCCTTTCAGCCGTTATGGCCACATGTGTGGCCCAGCTATATTCAGGGCCCCCGGCAAAAGCCAGGGTGGGGCTTAAATAACGAAAACTGCATCCCACACACGACGACTTTGATCTAAATATTGTTTCTCCTAGCAAAACATCAACCTACCTGTGGGTTAATTAACGTTAAAACTTTCGAATCTATTGTTGTACCTTTGATCTCTTCCCCTACCAGAGTCTATCAACTACACTGTAGTAGTCCGCAACTGTGTGGTGGATGATGGAGGAACCAACACCGAGACCGAGATCGGCAGGCAGAGTCACTGCGGCTGGATGCGAGTCCTCAAGTACAATGGTAGAAGAATGCGAGGTTGTATACTCAGTTGCGATACAGACGCCTGTAACCTTGGAAACCGTAAACATCATTCCAGTTATATAATCACAGTGGCTGCAGCATGTGCTTGTCTGCTAGTGGCATTGACACAGAGACGCTGGCACATTGAGGTCGTGTCAGTGTGAACTTTGACATGTAATGAATATTCGATTAGTTATCAGTAGTATAATGTTTTAGAAATATTGATTACTGTCAGACGATATTATTTGTAGAGTAAAACAGATCACGGGACATGAAATGTCCCATTGTAAATAAAATATTTGTTTAAAAAAATATGCAGAAAATCGTAGTGCAAAATTATGGACAGATTAGATACAACTTGATGATAATAGGTATTATAGAGAACTCAGTTTTCTTCTTCTTTTGTCCTCTAACTGATACCAGGTTTTAGGACAGTGTCAAGGTTTTCTGTATTTTCTTGCACTTGTCAGGTGGCTTAAGTGATGGATTTATTCATCTTTGTGCAGGTTTCAGCGATACCATTTATTCATCTCTTTTTACATCTTCCTCTCGCCTTTCTCCCAGATGTTCTACTGTAAAAATTCTCAAATGCAGTCTGGTCTGGCTGCATTCTAACTAGATGGCTGAACCATTTCATTCTTTGTCTGTCAATATAATCCACACATGATTTTACTTCAGCTTTCTCTCTAATGCAGCTATTCATAACCCTGTCTCTTCTAGTGTTGTTAGTGACCTTGCGGAGACAGCACATTTCATATCTGGTTATTTTCTGTTCTTGTGCCCTATTCATTGTCCATGTTTGGCACTGATAACATAAAGTAGGGATACAGATGCTATTAATCATTTGCTGTTTTGCTGGAAGGGACACATTTGGAAGTCTATGCAATGGGGCTAAGTGGTAGGTGACGGCATTTGCCTACTGTACTCTGGCTTCTGTTTCTCTATCGAGTCTGCCATCTTCCACAAATATGCTTCCTAGATATTTGAATTCGTGAACTTGTTTGATTGTAGTACTGATAACACAATCGTTCGTGATATAATGTTTCCTGCCTATCCTCATTACTTCAGTTTTCACGGTGTTTATTCTGATGTCATACTTTGTGCAGGCTTGATGTAAGGAGTCAGTATGGAGTTGTAAATTCTGTTTTTGATTTTGTATTAGACATTGATCATCTGCAAAAAGAAGGTTGTTAATTTCATTATGTCAGTATTTGCCTCCTGTGTTATTCTATCCATGTAAGTAATGAATAGCAATGGTGAGAGGAAAATCTCTGTCTGATACCTTATGATATGGGAAACCCGTCTGTCATTCCTTCTCTTGTTCTTTATGACTATCTTGGTAATTATCCATGACGTTACCCAACAGTTGATCTTGAATACCATAATCTTCTAGAATTTTCCAGTTTTTATCTGTTGATTCAATTGAATGTCTTCTCTTGATCTATAAATATAATGTCTTGACTGCTCGCATATCTGCCTTAAGGACAATATTGTGTCTGTACAGCTCTTTCCTTTCCTGAAACCTAACTGTTTCTTACTTAACTAGGGTTCTAGTACTGGTCCAGCTCTAAGTTCCAATATTTTTGCATCTTTCCAGTATGGCTCAGAGAAACAATAATTTGGGTTAAAGAGAAAAAGAGGGACCATCTCCAGTTTTAGTCCCAAAACAGCTTATTTTAAGAACTAATAAATGTACGTTTATAATTAAGTGTTCTTGCTTAATTATCCCTGCACATTATGCATTTTTGAACTGCAGTTTTAAAAACCAAAATTCCATTATTTTTAAACATAACACTGAATAGTGGGAGAAAATGTATGTGAATACACATAATCATATACACACACAGTACAGAGAGGTGGAGAGGGATACATATATCTGGATCTTACACATATGCATAACCTCTGCTATGAACATAATTACCGCAAGGAGGAAAATTTACAAAAAAATGATTAAATGCATACAAATATAACACATGTAAATAAAGAGAATTATAAAAAACAAAAACAACCTGCAGAGAATCACAGAATAGGAATCAGTCAATGTGCAGGAGAACACAATAAAACATATAGGGTTATTATATATATATATATATTTTTCAATATTTTGGGGGTTAACATTTTTTTAACTTACATTGTTAAGAGGTTTAACACAATATGATATGCTCAATTATTGCTATTACAACACTGTTAGTGTATCAATTTATGTCACAGCATTCTGTTGCATAGCTGAATAAATGGAAATGTACGTAATAATAAATGTGAAACTTTCTGTATGAAATATACCACCTGTTGTGACGTACAAGTCGAGGTGGTGTCAAGTTGAGGTGGTGTCAAGTTAAGCTGGTGTACATGTTGTCCTCAAGATTATTATCTCAGAATCATGTGTTAGGCCAGTACCTAGCATTTGGGTCAACCCACAAACTTAAAGTTGGCTCTCTGTGGCCCAGAGCTGCACATCCATCTATATACTTCTTTACATCAGGTGATCAACTTCTTCTTCTTCTTTATTTGTTTTCTTTTTGCTTAATAGAGCGGTTGACACATTTGTGTTGACGTTTATAGCTAAGCTGCCCATCAGCCCAACAAAATTTCAGCAAAGCCTAATTAGATGTCTTTTATTAGACATTTTTAGAGGTGATGAACAGTAGATATACATATAAAGGGTCAGTGTTTACACTTAATATATCAATTGTTGGACATGATGAACAGTAGAGATACAGAGAAATGGTCAGTGTTTACAATTAGTATATCAGTTGTTGGATATGATGAACAGTAGAGATACAGATAAACTGTAAGTGTTTACACTTACTATATCAGTTGTTGGACATGATGAACAGTAGAGATACAGATAAACTGTAAGTGTTTACACTTACTATATCAGTTGTTGGACATGATGAACAGTAGAGATACAGATAAACTGTAAGTGTTTACACATAGTATATCAGTTGTTGGACATGATGAACAGTAGAGATACAGATAAACTGTAAGTGTTTACACATAGTATATCAGTTGTTGGACATGATGAACAGTAGAGATACAGATAAACTGTAAGTGTTTACACATAGTATATCAGTTGTTGGACATGATGAACAGTAGAGATACAGAGAAATGGTAAGTGTTTACACTTAGTATATCAGTTGTTGGACATGATAAACAGTAGAGATACAGATAAATGGTCAGTGTTTACAATTAGTATATCAGTTGTTGGACATGATGAACAGTAGAGATACAGATAAACTGTAAGTGTTTACACATAGTATATCAGTTGTTGGACATAATGAACAGTAGAGATACAGATAAATGGTCCGTGTTTACACTTACTATATCAGTTGTTGGATATGATAAACAGTAGAGATACAGATAAATGGTCAGTGTTTACATTTAGTATATCAGTTGTTGGATATGTTGAATTCTGTGGTGGTAAAAGAATACTTACATTTTTGTTATTGCTTTGTTTTTTTACATTATTGTTGCTCTAAGATGCCACATAGTTAGTTGCATATCCTTTACGGGACGTTGCAGAACCAACCCCTCCATTTTTTTGGCTGTTGTGGTTTTCCTAGGCAAGTTTAAGTCCAGTAGTTTGCCATTGCTTTCTGGACGGTTGGCTTCTCGATACCACTGTTAAAATCAACGCAAGGCGCAAGACCCGGAAGCAGGGATAGAACCTGGCACCCCAGTATTACAAAGCATGTAACGCCTAAGCCACAGGCGCCGACAAAATGCCACATATGTTCCCCAAACACAAGTTTTAGTAGGATGTGACCTGTTGAAGGTATGGTTAGTAGTCTACCACCTTATTCTTGTTCTTAGGATTCACCAGCTGTAAATTCCAGCAGAAAATTCTGGTTGTTTGTCTAATTTTGGACTTTGGCCTTGTTCCAGAACTTAAGCTTTGTGCACACATCCATTTTTACACATCTGTCTTATTTGTGTGCAAACTTTTGGTTCCTCAAATCCCAGGCAGGTGCACTCAAGCTTCAAAGAAAACAACCCTAATTAGTCACCTTCTGTGACCGGAAGGCAGTGGTTATGTTCTTCTTTCCTCCAGAAACCACACAGGAATGATGTACTGTGATTGTTAGGTCTGCTTCCCACATCTAGGTGTCAAAGGTTTACATTTTATACCTGCCATTATAAGTCAAACCTTAGTGTTAAGAACAATTTGTTTAGGTTTGAAAACTTGACTTATATGCAGCAATTTATGGTATGAAAGTTCATTTGTCCTGACATTCTTAGCGTTGTTTATTTAATACATTCATAAAAGTTTCCATTTGTATCATATAACTGTTGCTACTCAACGAATGAAAGACTGATTCTAACATATCTTTTTTGAGTATGTGTGGACACATTAATGTTTGTTTGTTTTCTAATATTTTTTCTTATCATTACAAAGAACTATGAATTGTATTTGGTGTTTTTGTGGAAAAATTTCAAATGTGTTTTTTCTGTAGTGTTCAGTAAAGTGCAAATTTTAGAAAATATCTTAAAACATGTATGATCTTTCTGTCATTCAACTTTTTATGTAGAATTTTTGTTTTTGTCTTTTTGAAATATAAAAATGCTATTTACATCTGGAGAGGTGAAACCAAACACCTTTTGACAAGGTTACAATGATATTTTGAATAATTGTACTCTACACAAAATAAAGAGACAGAAACAAAAATAACTAGAAATATATACAGTGCAGACCACTTAAGACGATTCTCGGATGTGGTGCATTTCTGTGATGAAGAACAATTTCTTTATCCCCAGCAATTTTTCTTGCTTGAACTCTTATCTGGATTAGAGGAATTTCAGATAAGACAAACAATTTATTGGGTCCCAGGTGAATTCTCCTTATCAGGTCTGCACTGTACATGTTTTTATTTTCTGACTGCTATAGGATTTTTGTGTGCTGATCTGTGATATTATATTGCTTAGTACTTGCTTGTCTTTTACAGTCCTTACCCCCACAGGATTGCTGAGTACATCAGGGTAGTACTTGGTACAATACTGGGCACTCTTATTTTTATCTGAAGGTTGAATGAGGTAGATGGTATTCCCCTTTTTTTTCTTTTTCTTTGTCTCCTTGAAACTACAGGTGTAGTTGAATCTTCAGGTAGCAAGCCAGCTGAGAAAATACAAACAGACCAACAGATTTTATTGCCAGCATCTGCCAAAT